CGTGTGTGTGTGTTGGGGATGAAGGGTGGTGTCACCTATACCATTTATGCAGCTATTATGATTTCTTCTAAAAATACCTTACATTTTCTTTATTATTATTTTTTTGTTTTTTTATCTTTCTGCTGAAGTAATATATACTTGGGATAAATGAAATAATGCAAAGATGTCTTAAAGAAGAGATGTCTTAAAGAGACCCTCCTTTGCCTCTCTCCCCAGGTTACCACAATCTCTCATTATATTTTGAGTTTTACAGGTAATCACATAATTTTCACATTAAAATAATTTTGTATCTCTTCAATATTTATGCTGATAATTTAAAATTCTTGACTTTTTTGCATTCCCTAGCACCTCCGAAACAATATTGAATAATAAGGAGTAAAAGCAGTCATCCATTAACATTCCTGATTTTAATGGAATNCCACCCGATCTTCAGGATCCAACCCTTTTCCATTTAATCATTCCCGATAAGAAGGAACTTTCCTCTGAACCTCTTCAAACTTTAAATCCCTTCAATCACACTTACCATTTTCTATTATGTATTACTATACTTACTGCTTTCATGAAATGGGGTCTCTATAGCTGGTGTGCATTATGTTCTGCATTGTGCTGTTTTTAGAGAAACTCAGAGCTTAGTGTCATCAATGTGTGCTGAGTTAGTTTCAGGAAAGAGGGCCTGCAATTACCTGAGGCAGCAGCCATAGGCATTGAATGTCCCAACGGAGTGGGAGAAGGATCCAGGCTGAGAGCACATGGAAACCGTGTGTGTGTGTTGGGGATGAAGGGTGGTGTCACCTATACCATTTATGCAGCTATTATGANTGGGAGCGCCACCGCGCTTCCCAAGCGGCGCACTGTAGCAGTGCACCACCGGGCCGGCCCCAGGTATGGGTTTTAGTATCCTGATTTTTTTCTCCTTAACACACAACACGTTCATTTTCCTGTATCATAAAAATTCTGTTCAAAGATGCCATTCATTATGGCTGAACGATATTCATTCAGGTGAATGTCCCATCCGGCCTTTGCTCTGACTCTGGCATATAAGATATTCCATATGTCCTCAACAGAGTCTTCTCACCAGAGTCTTCTCACCAGAGTCTCCACCACTGCGCTCACATGCAGCACTGTACGTAACAGTTCAAAATGACGCCTTGTGCTCCATTACAGACTTGACCCATGGTGCTCACACAGCATGACTCCTGCTGCCCCAAAGGTGCTGCCTGAGTGCTCTTAGTTATGCAGTTACCTGGCTGCTCAGGTATGCTTAAGTATGTGGCAGCCTGGCCCTTCCCACTGAGGTGGGCGAGGAACACCCCCATTTCTAGAGGACCCCTCCCTGCCCACTGCCATCTACTTGCTTTGTAAACTTTCCGTATTTTCCTGAGACTCAGATGACTCCGATGAGAAGTAATCATCAGTTGGATCTCTTTTATATTGTTTTCTGTCATTTGTTTTATGATGCAAGTTTCTGCTTTAAGTTTTTGTGCTTGTTTGGGTTTAGGCCATCCCTCAAAATGCCCCTGTAATGAGAACAGGGGTGGTTATTTGCCCCTCTGGGGTTGTTTTACATGAGAGTGACTGATATTTTATGCGTTAGTACAGGTTTTCAATTTCTAGAATTCCTGGGGCCTGAGAGGGTACACCACCACTGGACTGCAGCAAGGGGAAGGAGGCAGACCCCGCAGAATCACTCAGTAGCCCCCAGCCCAAGCCTGTCAGACCAAGTTTTGTGACATTGTTAGATCACAGTCCTCCATATACACATGTGCATGTGTAAAGATAGAAGGTAAAAACAAACGTTTCACAAAAGCACACTTACCCTTTCCATGTGGATGCATCCTGATATTTTCTATTCTCATTTGTTAAAATAAAAATGCTGGTTGTTGTGATGCACTAAATTGATTCCATGATACAAACCAGGGTCAATTTGAAAATCGCTGGGCTGCGGCCACAGTTTTCCTGAGTGCCAGCCCTGTCTGCCGTGTACCTTCCTGCTAGTGAAGTCAGGGCAGTGCTTCCCAAAGTGTGGTCCTCAGGGCCAGCGGCATCTGCAGCACCTGAGAATTTTTTAGAAATGTAAATTCTTGGGTCCCAACCAGACCTGCTGATGAGTCCCTGGGGTGGGCCAAGCAATCTGTGCTTTAACAAGCCCCCAGAGGACTCTGGTTCACAGCAGAATTGGAGAACTACCATTTATACATTAGACTCTTGTTTTTCTCCATCACCCACCCTGTTTCTAACTAGATGATTCTAAGAAAGAACTTTCTTAGAAATGTAATTTTACATTTACTTTTTTTTTTTTTTGTCTTTTTGTCTTTTTTCGTGACCGGTAACGGGATCGCAACCCTCA